CGATGTAAGGTGCGGCGTGTCCGTTCCCGGGATCTTGTACAGTACAGAGAGTCTCAACACCGAGTGATCACTCCTTTATCATGGCCGTTGGCCGCCTTTTTCCACTTCATGCATTTTTTTCATCCCTTTGAATAGCCTGAACGAGAACCTTTTGGGTTTCGCCTATATATACTCCCCAATTTCCTTCGCTCCAACTCATCAACCAGACCACCTCTTCACTCACCACTTCCCACCCCAAGTCATCCACCATGAAGTCCTCAGTCCTCGTCCTTACCGTTGCCCTTGCTCTTGCCACCAGTGCCTTTGCCGCGCCCAAAGCGGAGGTTGTCGGGGGTGGTGGCGCGCAAATTGAAGAGACCTGTTATCACCCGAGCAGCTGCTCTGACCATTGGTCCGGATTGTGTGAAGACTATTGCGGCGACCGCGGATTTTCTCATATGACGGGCAGTGGCTGCGGATGGTGGGACAAGAAGTGCTGCTGCAACAGGAACTAAGCAATGACCCACTACTCTACTCGGTGACCCGCTACTATTCTCGGCGAGCCCTACTATTCTCGGTGACCCGCTACTCTACTCGCTGGTCATCTACTCTACTCAAGGTGTTTTCAATCAAGGTCCCTTCTCTCTTTCCCTCTCTTATCAAAAGAACAGAATAAAAGAATGATAAGCCTTAGTCATTCACCTGTCAATTCTTAACTCGTTATGTCAATGGCTATGGGTTCCGGATTGAGCAAAAATGATTAAATTGTTGTTACGCGGTGTCGCACGCGATCCAGTTGGGCCAAAGTAATTCAAAGGGAGAATTAACAGACCTTGTACTTCTCCGACCCTTTAAAACATCATCTATAGCAAGTCTGTGTTTGCTTTAACATTTTCTGAATCTAAAGACACACCTACTGTAGACTCTCCTGGTTTTTTTATTTTTATGGGCGGGGGTAGGCGCATATATCCATAGATCATTCTCTTAAACAACGTAAATATTCACTTTTATGTTAAAAAAATGAGAGAAAGAATGGAAAAGAATGAAGGACCGAAATAAATCTATAGAACAGTGGACTTAATCTCAGCAGATCGTAGAAACAATGCTACTCTACCGCTTACATACCCGTTCAATGAAAGTCGTATGTAATGGATTAATCTCCTCCAACATTTGAAATTAACATTAGTAGGAACTTCACAGATAATGAATGGGTGCCGTCTGAAATTGGTGAGGAGGAGGAGAGGATGGTTGCTACGAATGAGAAACAAGCGAAAGATAGTGTTGCGAGGTGGGGCAGATAGTGATCAAATTGATGGATACTTTGATCACCGACTGAGACGAAGAAGGTTTCTACTGATTAGTGGCACCCTTTTTTGCTGCTCAGCAAGAATATAATTGTCCTTGATCAACGGCAACCGCGTCGGCTCTTGACTCTCGTCCATTTTTCTTTGATTTTTTCTCACTCTGTATTTCTCCCTTATTCCGTGATCCGCCTTTTGCATTCAGGGTTTACTCTCCTTTCCTTTTGTCTTTCTGTCTCCCACTTTTACTCTTTCGCTCAAGCCAGAAAAAAAATCGCCGGCGGGCCACAATCATCTTCTCGAGCTGAGTATCGCTAATATTGCACTCACTTTCACCTCAGCAATGTATGTATCTTTTACCCATCTAGATCTTGAATGGTTCGCCGTCGCCTTGTTCTATCCCTCGTTCCTTTTTTTTCCCTTGAAGTTTTGTGGGCATGCATTCAACTTCCTTTGATACTTGTATGGTCTTCAACCAGGTTCGGGTTTCTTCATTCATGGTTTGAGACAATCCAAGAGTGTTGGAGGTTTGGAAAATGACAGCATTGCTCTTCTCAACCTCGCGTCAATCGAAGAAAAATTGGGCTATGGCGCAACCAAGAAAAGGCTAAAGCCATACATGCACAATGACTGACAAACCCTAAAAAGAGAACAATTGACCAAAGTGGTGACAGTCTGGACAGACAAGAAAAATGAATGCCGTGATTGCAACATGGTGAGTACTCCTTTTTCTCTCTCTCTCTCTCCTTTTAAACGGTATGTTGCCCTTCACGTCTCACATCGACGCATGATGCTCATTGCCTTCCATTTCCTGTTATTTGTGCCAAGACACACCTAGCTACTACCCCTCAAGGCATGATTGCAAGACACAGCTTACTACTATCCCGAAGGCACAATGCCAAGGCTATAAAAATGAAAAGGTTCTTCTTATTCGTCCTCCTTTATTCTACCACACAATTAAACGAAAAGCAACAACAATAAACAACGACAAAAGTGTTTACGCACCTCAGCTATATCAAAAGCACGCAAAAAAATAATACCAAACCTGCCCTCAATCCTGAAGACTATGAGCGCTGCAAGACCTCACAGCGAGGACAACGGTCATTCTATCTCAGTTTAGATCGACCTTCCAGTGCAGCCCACCGCCTCTTAAACCACCGGTACACTCGCCGCTCTCCTCGCTCATCATTTAACCTACAACGACGACGACGAAGACGGTGTTGAGGAGAGTCCTCTTTTGGGCGCTGTCTGTGGTGGGACTGGTGGTCACTACCATCAACCCGTTGACGACAACGCCGAAGACGGGACCGGTAACAGTGGAGGAGGTCAAAGACGACGAAGCAGCGAGTCTCCTCCTTTCTTGTATCAACTGCACGATTGGCTCGCGGACCGCGGCACCGGTAAGTTTCTTTCATTTCGTGATGTGACAACAGAACAAAAACGTGACGACTGACCCCCAACTTGCGCTCATCGTTGATTAAGCCGTAGCCAGCCCTTCTTGCTGACAAACCCTACCCTAGAATCCTCTAGCTGACCTTCACTTCCCAAACGTACAAGTGGTTCTCATTTCACCCTAGTTTAATTCTTGGTTTGTTGTAGTCGTCCTTATTAAAACACACTTTCTTACCGTAATCGTACTTGCGCCCACGTTTCCTCGTTCACTGTTTCCCCCGTACTCGTTCGATTTGTCTCCTTGACTTGATGCAGGAGGAGTAGAACGGCATATTGGGAGGACAAGGACACCCTATTAGTGCCGCATGGGACAGAGATCAAGAGTCATTGCCCCTTCGAGCTGAGAAGAAAGGATGGAAGAACAAGCAAGGGAACCATGTCGGGAAATGGACATGGGTTGTGCGACAAGTCGTTGCCCTATTTCACTTGTTTTAGTTCTCTTTTTTTCTGGTCATTTTCACACTTCATCACAAATGCACGGTGGCGCTTAAGATGGGCGACATCCGAAATTATTGGAGGGGAGAGAGAGAGAGAGAGAGAAGTTGCTACAGATGAAAGGGAGTGAAAGAAAGTATTGCGGGTGGAGCGCATGGTGATCACAATTGATAGTCACACCCGTCACCGACTGAGATGAAGAAGGTTCTGACTGAGAGGTGAGGGAAACGAGAGATACGAGTTGGGCAGCTTACAAAGTACCTGAGTCGTTCACATAGTACATGGTTACGTTCACGTAGGGTTGTGATCGTAATTGATGAGCACGCAACGTGGCAGCCATGACGGCAAAGCATTTTCACTCGCCACGAAAGGGAGGTATAACACTCCTCTCTACCCAATATCTTTCCTTTTCTTTCTTTTTTCTTTTCCTTCCTTCCTCCCTTCATTTTTTCTTCCTTCCTTTCCTTACTTCTTAGTTATGACAAAACCAACGCTATGCTACTCTGTCTCCTCACTATCACTTTGTCTACTTCTCTCCGCATGCATACCATGTGTGCATAGGGTATATTGAATGGTACTTGTATGGCTGAAGCCTGATAATAACAACGAAAATGACTGGAATGGATGGGAGAATGAGTCCTTTGGTTTAATATATCAAATGTGAATAAAGTATGGATCGCTGAAAGCTCATGGCTATTGGCTTTGAAAGACAGACAAAAGAGGGTTGCTTGTGAGGTGTGAGTTAGGTGAGAAGGGTAGCCATGGTGATCAAACTGATGGGTTAGGTCGATCGCCGACTGAGACGAAGAGGGCTTCTACTGATTGATGGTGCACGTTTTTATTTCGTCTTTGTTCACTGAGGATGTAGGATATGTAGGATGTTGTGATCATTCAATGGTAGCCGTGTTTACTCTTCTTGACTTTCTTCCTTTTTATTCTTTTCCTATCTACTTTTCCCTCTCTATTACGCGCTTCGCTTTGTTGTGCATTGAGGTTTAGCTCGTGTGTTACGTCATGAGCAGCGACGCACTCTACTCCATTTCACCCACTGTCTCCTTCACATTTACTCTCTTGCCTCAACGCCAAAAAACAACAAGTGGGTTGCAGCTCTGTTCATGAGCCAATACCTTTTTCTTTTCCCTCGTCCTTGCTTTGATCTTTTCTATCGTGATTTTTTCCCTTGAAGACTTGCGAGCACTTACATCTCTGATACTCGTCTGGTCCTTCTTAAATCACGTTAAGGTTTCCTCATTTCATAGCTTGAAGGATCGGGAAATGACAGCGTTGCCCAATAATCTACTTTTTACGCCTTGGTACCATGCATCAAAAAAAAGTGGGCTGTGGCACAACAAAAAAAGGCTACAGCCTCACTACCACACTATGGCCATAATTACCCACACACACCAGCAAGCATGCACAATAGACCGACAAACCTAAAAGAAAGTGAGCAGTTGATCAACCTGGGAGAGACAAGAAAAATCTATGAGCAAATTGAAACGTGGCGCGTTGCGGAAGATGCTCTGTGCCTTACTTCATATCTCTTTTTCCCCCTTTTCACACAGCAGCATGTTACCCTCCTCGTCTCACACACACGTATTGGACACGCATTGTCTTCTGTCTTCTGTTTTTTATGCCAAGACACAACTAATAACTACCCCTCAAGGGACGGCGCCAAGACTATAAAAAGACCTTACTCGCCCTCCTTTATTCTCTCAAGTCAATTCTCACATCAACAGCAACAACAAACAGCAAAAATCGCAGTACACCATAACTATATCCAAAAAAAAAAAAAAAAAAAACACTACACCAAACTTGCCCTCAACTCTCAAGACTATGAGCACAGCAAGACCTCACGGCGGCGGCGACAGCGGTCATTCCGCCTCGATTCAGATCGACCCTCCAGCACAGTCCGTCGTTCCTTCAGCCACTGGCACGCCTTTCCCTCTTCCCGCCCACCGCCCCAACTACAACGACGACGACGAAGACAGCGACGAAGACGGTCCACTTTTGGGCGCTTCTTCCACCACCAGAGGTGGCCCCGGTCCTCGTCATCATCAACTCGTTGACCAAGATGAGACTGGACAAGGACGACGAAGCAGCGAGCGTGCTCCTTTCTTGTATCGACTTCACGATTGGCTCGCGGACCATGGGACCAGTAAGTTACCTTTGTTGTGTTTTGGTTCGACAGCGAACAAAAGTGCGGCCAAGCTCTAAGTACTTTCAATGGTCCTTCTGTTGTACTCACGCCAACCCGCCACTTGGTATTCATCCTTTGCTCGTTGTTCTTGTTTTCTTAGAACTGAAGTCGTTCTCGTCAAACCTACGATCGGCCAAGGCGCCCTTGGCCGGATGGCGAAAGGTCCTGAAGCGGGCTTTCACCATCCTGGGTGTTGTCCTTCTTCTTGGCCTCTTGGGACTTTCGGTAAGGAAAAAAAAGGAAATCCTTCACGTACAACTTTGTTTTTGCTTCGTAAGAAAGGAAAGATCCCCCGCATCGTTGCCATGAGAGGAGCAAAGTACTGTTCTAACAACCAGTTTTTACGTGTTCAATCGGTGCTGATATAGGGGTGGCTTTTGTATGATTGCGTAGCCGTGTGCAGCGTAAACGACAGCGATTCGGTCACGTTGCAATACTCGTTCCACCCTGACCAGTACAAGAATTTCTACTTCCATCTTGACCATGACACCGTAAGTCCACCCACCCATGAGTCTCCTTCATTCTTTGTCTTTCTCAACCGTTCAACCCAAAAAAAAAAAAAAAAAAAAAAAAGTTGCGAAATCTCATACAGAAACGCTTTATTGACGTGCCCTTTTTTTGATCTCGCTTTTCTTTCTTCCTCTTATGCCATATTTCAATGACCTCGTATTAGGTCGGAGATATCACTGTGAGTCAGTACAACTCGCCCTATGGGGGGGATGGAGGCGATGAAGTCATGATCTTTGTCAACGCAAGGGGATCCAGCGGCGAGATTGCCCGTGCCGTCACCCTGGGCACCATCACCAATCCCGACGACTCTTCCCTCGAGGCCAACGTGTACATGTCCACTGATGAGTATGAACGCGAAAGGGTCTTCCGCAGAGGCTGCGTTGACATCAATGTCCGCATCGTCTTCCCCCAGAACATGACCCACTTTGATTCATTCAAGGTCCACAACCGGAACAGGGGCGATGTGGACGTTAACTTCGGTGCCTACGTCAACCCAGACAGCCGTAGCTTCCCTGGACAACCAGCACCTGCAGGGGCTGGTGTTGCAATGGATCGACTCGACGTCAAAACGAATAACGGACGCGTCTTTTTCACAAACACGGTCGTCAAGGAGGATTTGAAGGTCATCGCTGCGCAGGGCTCTATTATTGGTCAAATCACAGTGGACAAGCGAGTCGAAACAGAATCAAAGGACACTCACCTAACTATCTTCTCCACCAGCGCCGACCTGGATCTCAAGGTGTCGTCCGAGACCTACGCCAACATCTTGGTGGTAAGAATAGCAACCAAAAAACATACCCATCAGGAGCGAATCCCATTAACTTGTTTCCCCCCCCCCCCCCCTATATCTACCCAAAAGCGCATATCATCTGAGCTGCCGGCTCTTTTTTTCTCAACTTTGTAGTCGTCAAACTTCTCTGGACATGTGGTACTGAAGAGCTGGACAAATATGAGCCAACTCTACGTGTACTCCAAAGATAAAAGTTTCGTCCGACAGGCAAAAACCTTGCAGACCTTGACTGGTTACTTCCCGTACCCCAACGGTACCGAGCCTACAGCTTACCTTCCTCGCATCGAAATCAGTGGACTCCATGCCAGCTTGAATCGTTAACGATAAAGCACGTTTTTTCCACCTCAGAACCAGACCAGAGGGATAGATAAATCGAAGAACAAATGAACTGGAATTGTATCTTTCTCTTTCTCTTTTTTTTCGCTTCTTTTGGTATCTCGATCCCAATGACCTGGTTGGTCCTATTTCTCCTTTATAGTGCTGACGATAGTTCCAGTAGTCCAAACAAGAAGTAAAGGAGTTTTTTAGGATTGAAAAAATATCGATGTCTGTCGTGTAAGGATCTACCTCGCCATGGACATATTTTTTCCGCGTTCTTGTGACCGCCAGCTAAATAAGAAGCAGCCGGAACTAAAAATCAAGGAGGAGTGGAATGAGTATTACTAGGTGTAGATCTGGCGAGCCAATGATGTTACGTTGCGTCAATGGTGTCGAGCTGTCAGACATTCACGACTAGTAGCGGAAACGGATCATGCGCGCAGCATTATTTTTTTCACTCGGAGTGAACGTCAATGAGTCAAACACTGACAAGAGATCCAGGAAAAATGGTGAGAAATGATGCAAGGAAAACAAAAAAAAGTGGAGAACGCTAAGACAGAGAAAGAGGGCTGTAGGTGCAGTTAAAAAAAAAAGAGGGATCAAAGCGGTGGATAAAAAAAATCAAGGGGTTGGTGAGGAACGATGTTGTTACTCAGGGGAGAGGGTCGACGGCCAGAGTTGTAGGACCGCTGTTAGGTCCTCAATTGGTACGGAGGGGGGGGGAAGGGGGTTGTAGGTTGGGGGGAGGGGAAGTGACAATAGTGTCCTAAAAGAATCACACAAAACGATACACTGCAGCGTGCCAGCGAAACTCTTGTCAATACTGCTCTCGTCCAAGTGATGTGTAAAAGGACAAAGAGCAGACAAGAGGGCTCGGCGCACTACTAATACTATGTCTACTAAAGAATATGACTGCTAACCTAAGGCATCGCCGCCACTGCCTAGCCACCACATCTTTTTGTAACAATGTGAAGGACGGTAGTCAAACAAGAAGAGGGATAAGGATTAACACCCACAGCCCACATTTTTAATTTTAGGGGTGCCTGCTTGCGCACGTTCATCAGTAAGATCTTTTTTTTTCTTTACTCTCGCTGTCCATGGTGAATTGAAGAGTAGCAAGAAATGGAGGACGTATTAAAGACGCTCTAACAACCCACTTTTCTCTCTCTTCTCATCATTTTCCACATTAGTTCTTTGATCTTACCTATACGCATTATCCAGCGAACACAAACTCTCCAGCACCCACCACACACTGCTACAACGTAAGAACCCCTGTTTGCTTGTACGTTGTTGCATTGGTTGGCGCATTGTCCAAGGGCATAATAGAATGGAGGTTGAAATGTAATGAAACCGCGTTGCATTCTCTTATTTTTCGTAGAATTAAGATCCTCTCGTCAACATTGCCGCTCGTTGCTCTGGTAGCTGCAATCGTAAGTGCCACTGACTTGTCCAAGCGTGCCCTCGATGGTGATCTATCCAAGGTCGCAACAGGACTGGAAAAGAGAAAAGTCTGTATAGTTCATTGCAACACCAGCTACGATTGTACAGCGAAGTGTGGCGGCACCTATCAATGCGTCCTCCATCGATGTTTCGGTGGGGTGGGCAAAGACTAAATAGATTTGTTCTGTATGGTACCATCGCCATTATTTTTTTCTTGCCTTTGGTGACCAATCGATTCTTATGTCTCTTTGGGCGATGGAGGGGAAGTGTATGTGCAACAGGGTGTCTTGAGTAGGGTCCTCTTGGCAAAAATGTGAATGTGAAACACAATAGGGGTTGGACTACGTAGCATTGAACGAGGGACCCACGCATGCTCTCGCTTATTGCGCGCTGACATCCCTGACGACTATCACGTTCAATTAGTTGATACACGTACTTTGTTCAACCCTACTTGTTCGCGTGTGTTAAGGTTGTGTGCCTGAGATGTCGCCACTTTTCTCTCTTCACCCTGACTCCCTTTGATTTCTTGACACATACGTAATTTTTATGCATGGTCCTCCCTTTCCTTTCTTTGTTGCGCTGGGAAGATCAGAGGGATATAGTGGGAAAAGGATATGACAAATGGAGAGCACAAGATGACGGATACTGAACCAGATCAGGAAGCGATGGTGGAATGAAAGGACGTGGGAACATAAAATACAAAATGACGAACAGAACGACAAAGACAAGAGCGTTACACAATCATGGGAGACAGGGCCGGGAGATCCCAAAATGGGAGGGAGTGCAAAGACCATAGCACTCTTTCTTTCGTAAGTGACTGTCAAGGTCCCAAGATTCTCAGAGCCCTCCCCCAAAAAAAAACGTACGCGACGAACCAACTGTATTTGGTCGTGAAAGGGATACATCAAGGGATCTGATAACGCACAAGGGAACAACGTCGAGAAAAGATAGGTTCAGGGTAACAGAATGACGCGATACGTACAGTGAAAGTAATTACAGGATGTCCATGGTACATGGTGCATGGTACATTTATTACATGGTATATGGTACATGCAACCTGGTACAATCGATTAGAAGAGGAGGAGGTGAAAGAAGGCGGTGAAGGGACAGCTGGATGGAGGAAGTTGGAGGCCCCATACCCTATTTTTGTTTACTTTAGACGAACTGGTTCTGTTCTTGTGCATACAGAAGCAATATACTACAGGACCGATACCAGGGATACTCGTGTGTGAAAATGTGAAGCGGATAGAAATGAGACGGGTATAAAAGGAACCTGAGGATCCTTCTACCGTCTTATCATCATCACCCATCACAGTCCTCTTTCGTCCCTTTATACACTCCCACCAGCACTCGATCTACACCCTCTCTCCTGTGTCACACATACTCGCATACACTACAACAACGTAAGAATCAATCGTTGCTTGCATGTTATACGCTACAGTAATGCGCTGCTCAAACATACAAAACAGAAGGACTAACCACCCATTATTTCTATTGGTATCAATAGCATGAAGTTCCTCATCCCAAGCATGCTCCTCGTCGCTCTGGCTGCTTCTGTCGCCAATGCCATTGCCGTGCCCAAGCCCGTCGATAACGGAGACCTGTCCGCGGCTGCAACCGAATTAGACAAGAGACAAACCTGCTCGGTTGGTTGCAACACCACTGACGATTGTAGAGCAGCTTGTGGTGGCAAGTTTGTTTGCCTCTTTTATGGTCACAGGTGTGTCCAATGAGCACATTCAATAAAAGATCCACACCGCTCCACAACTTACCATGCTGTACCAAAGCAATCAGCAGAAACCTTCGTCTCAGTCGCTGATCGATGCGATCCATCATATTGATTACCGTGTCTCGTTTTCACCCATACTCCCCCATCACAAGAAATCCTCTCTTTTTCTCTTTCATTCTAAGCCAACACATATATTCTCTTCACCGATACAAAGCAGTCCACGCATATCGTATTAAAAAGACTGCCCAGTACGCTGATTATCTTTACGTTGCGCTGGGGGTAAAATAAGTGAGATGGTGGAAGGGAGTTTGATAAATTGAGTAAGCTAGAAGGCACTTGGGATTTTGTAGTAAGATACCGAGCCAGGAAAAGAAGTGATGAAGCAAGCATAGATGCGCGACGAGAATCTGGAAAGCAAAGGGTGCAAAAAAAAAAAAAAAAAAAAAAAAAAAACTGACAGACAAGCTAGAAGTCGTCGTGGAATAAACTATCGTGAACAACGTCGGGTCGCAACTTTGTAAAGTACTCCCTCAACGCCACCCTTTTCTTGTCATGCTCAATACTGCACAATCGCTCATAATCCAGGCCATACATCAGGTTCAACTTTGGCCAGCTCTTCGCCATCCAGTCCATCTCGGTTTTGCCAATTTTGTGGTTGAGGCATTCGAATCCAAACAGCTCCAGGTTCCTCAATTCCCCCAGTCGACCCAGCCCAGACTCGAGCGTTAGCTCCAAAGTATCAAACACCGGCGGTTCGTATTCCAGGTAGTACTTTCCATCCTCGCCCAAATAATATTCTCCCTTGAACGTCCACGGGTTCCGGTTCTCGTACCCGAGATCCAAATGCTTGAGGCGCGTCAGACTGGCCAGCTGATCGTAGACTCCATGGTGCTGTGCGCGACATCTGTTGAACTTTTCGACCACTCCCGTTTCCTCCTCTGACAGGTCAGCCGAGTGTCCAAGCGCCATGATGCGTGCCACCGTTTCTTCCTCCACAGGGGTCAATCGATCCAACCCTACAATCCTGCAAGTCAACCACTCCAGTCCCACGCAGGTCCATGGCTCCCTCAGCATCTCGTCAACCTTGATAAAATTCTTGATGCTGTCAAACTCGCGGAGGTGGCGGTGGGTGATCAGGAACTGGTTGGTTGGGTCGTTGCCCTGTGTTCCTGAAATATAACTCCTGTCGATGAACCAAGGCGGAAAGGTTCTGAGCGTTTCCAAGTTTAAACAACATTCCTTCAAAAGCAACGCCACATCCTCTCGGAGACACTCGTTCCCAATCTCCCACACCACAATGCTTGGGATATAACGAAAGACAGTGTACCAGTCCTGCACGATGCCTTCGAGTTTCCTGAGAGACTGCCCACCAAACGGTGCTGGCGGTAGCGGGGTGTAGTTTGGACTCGACGTATATCTCGGGTTCTCCTCAACCTCCTTCACTCTAAGCTGCGTCAGGTTGGGGAAGATGCCAAGCAGCGTGAGCAGTCCATTGACAGTAGTTACTCCTCCAGCCAGTAAGACCTTCAGGCTCATGTTGGCCACTGGCAGTGGCTCAGGCAGGGGAAAGACAGCCGGCGAGATGGAACTCTTGAACGAGAGGGACTCGATCTCAGCTGGAAGCGCATCCCACAACTTCCAAAATTCGACGCGCCCAAACATGTAGTCATTGACATCGAGGTCCTTGAGGTGCTTTAGTAGTCGGAGGGTTGCAACAACGAAGTCTGCTGATATCCTGTCACCCTGCTGCAGGCATTCAGAGGTGTCAAGACGCAGTAGTCCTGGGTTGACCCGGATGAGATGCCAGGTATGTTGGGTGAGAGTCCAGATATGCTCCAAACTTGCCCTCTTCGACTCGGGGGTGGCGTTACCATGGAGCGTTGTTGTCTTAAAGTCGGCCAGCTTTAGGTGGCCAGGAAACAATGGCTTGGAGAGTTCAACGTCGGGTTCTTGATAGGGTCCTGGAGCTTGCAAGGCGGGACCAACGCCAAATGTGCCAGTGCCAGCAAGTGTAATAGCAGGCGCGATCCCGAATCCTCTAGCGTGAGCAACTGGTATAACAGCGGAATTAGCGTCCAAGCCAGGAGTACCAACCATGACACCGAGTCCAGGAACGATAGGTAGCTGAGGCCGTTGAGGTGGAGCGGGAGGGAGAGGCAGGTACTCCAAACACAGCCCTTCTGCATTCAGATTCAAGTCGAGAACCAACGTGTGCAAACTGGTGCAGGTCTCCTTTCGACTGGCCGCCTCGAGAACCAGAGTATGGTTGATCTTGAGTTCTCGGATGTGGTGACCGTACTTCTCAAAGATGGCGAACAGCCAGTCTCGGTCCTTGATGAGATCCGAGTCGCGAACGCAGGACTTGTGAGTATCGAAGGAACGCCTACGAAAGGGAGAGCTGCCTGGTGCGGTTGCCGTTGTTTCTACTGTTACTGCACTAATTGCTGCTGGGGGTGGCGGTTGTGGACGTGGGTCGGTGATTTGATGGAGAATGTAGCCCCAGGATTGAGCCGAGTCGTCGATGGATCGCCAGAGGACGGGGATGAAGGTTTTATTCCATGTGCTGTTGAGCTGGACGCAGGAAAGGAGGTCGGCAGGGCTGAGGTATGGGGCCAGGTGAGCCACTAGCTCGGGAATGTCGAGGAAATTCAGCTTCATGGCGAGGAAGGCTTGAGTGGAGGCCGAGAGGGAGAAGAACGAAGGAGGTGAGGTGGTGTCAAAGCAGAGGATGTAAGAAAAAGGGGTTGAGAGTGGAGGAAGAAAAGGGGCAGGTGGTGCAGGGAGGGAGGAGATGGAAGAGGAGCGAAGGAGTGGAGAAAGTGAAAGGGAATAAGGAGAAGAGAGAGGGTCATTGTCATTCTCCCTATCATTAACAACAGCAGTAGCAACAAGAGGGGAAAAAACGGTGGCAAAAATTAAATCTGAGTGCTCACACTCAAGTCAACCATGGTCGGGTAGCACACAGAGAAGGGAGGGAGGTCTTGTTTTTTCTTTTTGTCGCTTGTCCTGCCTCGCAAGACGGAGAACAAAAAAACGTGGGCAGAGAAGTAGCCTGGAAACTGACGCCAGGAATGAGATACTTTGTTCATCACAGCACAGCACATTAGATTACAGCCTCATGGCGCTGTACTTGCTGTTGTTGTGGGAGACAAATAGAGGGAAAGGATGGAGAAAAAAAGAGAAAAGGATGATGCTATCAGGTGAAATTGGCAATGAAAGAATAATAAAGGTGGGGACTCCGTCTGTCGATTTTTATTTTCTGTTGATGGATGAGGTGCGGCTCTTTGTTGTTGTCGGACAATGACGACAACAAGTGCGGATGCTGCTCGATCGTCCTCAACAACGTACTTATTGCATGTGTATGAAAGATGTGAAAGAATTCACCACCGTGGTAAAAAGTCTTTTCGTGTGGAACTGATCGTACACAGTGCATCCAGTCACCTAGGCTTGAAATATTTACAACTTTCGCCAAGCACACACATCTTGGCGTTATGGTTGTTCTCTCGCGTATGTGTCAGATGTAGGCAAGAATGTTGAGTGGTTTCCCGTCGCCGTTTGTGTGCAAGGTGATAAACTTCCACTCGGCCCAGTTCGTGTACGCATTCGACCCTAACCTGCACAAGCAGCTTTTTTTTTCCATCTCGACAAGGACATGGTAAGTCTCCCCTTGTACTCTTTACTCCTCACATATATTCTCTCATTTGTGACCGAGAAAGCTCTCAATTGACGCGCGTTAAATTATATCTCGTTATTGCTCTACTTCCTTACAGGTATGAGATTCAATGTGAGGCAAGACGGCGGCAGAGTCAAGATCTATGCTCACCTCAGGGCATTCAACAGCAACATCCTTTTAACTACTACCTTGAAAATCGTCTCATTCCCCCTTTGTGCCGTGAATGGAATGGCTCCTGTTGTTCAAACAAGAGGTAAAAAAGGTCTCACGAAGAAAAAAAAAATTGACGGATTCGATGTCTGTCGCGTAGATTTGGTTCATATACTGCCATGTATCGCACATGCTGGTGTTCATCCTTAATCCGTCGCGCCTATTCTTGTCTTTCTTTCAAATATGGTGTTGACGTTTTTATTTCAAAGAGAATAAACGGGGCTTCAAGTCGATAAAACAGCTCCTTGTGACGAATCTCCTCCAATTGCTGTACAGATCATCCTGGTGCTTTGGTACTTGGTGTTGTATTGGATGGTCGTTTGTTGGCGTTTGTTGGAGATTGTATTTAACCCTGCCAGTGGACTAGAAACATAGGGCATACGAGAGAGTGAAAGACGATTAGTATCAAAATGGACAAGGAAACAAAAATGAGTCGCAAATATCCACGAGCGCGTGCAAGAAACCAACAACATACCTGGGAGCTTGTCGCCGGGAACAAAGATTCTCTCGACACCCTTCTCTGTGATAACGGCCATACGGATGACACCTCCAGATGAACCATCACGCGACATTGCCAGTGCCAATGCTATATGAAAGGTAAACGCAAAATGAGATGTTAGCTCCTTGTTCTCAAAAACGACCAAAGTGATTGCCAGAGCAACAGAATCCAAGAAGCGATAAAAAGTACGAGAGAAAAACGTACAGTTCTTGACAAACTCGATGCACTCCTCCTGGTTCATGCCATCGCGGTAGGTGGCATCACAGTAACCGTAGATGTATGTCGAACCACTTCCTCCAATGGCAAAGGGCTGACGGTGGAGGGATCCACCGAGAGGGACATTCCAGACACTGCCACCGTTTTCCTTGTCCCAACCGCCGACAATGATTCCGGCGCTCAGGCCGTCCTTGTTCTGATAGCACAATTCCTGGAACAATGATGCTGCCAATGGGACCGTTGGCTTTCCGTTCTGGACACTATTTTCATATCGTTGAATTGAGTGATAGAAGTGGGTGTTGAGTAAGGTTAATGACAGTGCCTGGATCCAATGAGCCGCTACTTCCTGTCATTGACCAGGTGTTCCTCGAAACGCACAGCGTTGCGTCTTGATATTATCTGCGCTGTTCTTCGGAAACTAATCGCGACAGATATAATAGATTCACTCAGAAAAGAAACACGTACGAGTACATCTGGAGGTAGTAATGCACGATATCGGCGACGGCCTGGGTATCGGCCGCACTTCCTGATCGACAGCAGTAGATTGTATCGTGGACCTCAGTCAGCTTGTCTGTGACACGGTTGGCGATATAGGATCCTGTGGTCGTGCGAGAATCGGCTCCGATAATGACTCCATGCGCAAACTCGACCGCCATAATCGATGTCTATTATGTTCAGGTAAAATGTGTGTTATTGAGTATGACGGTTTGACAGTTGCTGGACCGAGGGCATAGCATGGCGTGGCATGGCGTAGCATCAACGCCACAAGAAGGTGAACGAGTAACTTACACCGAGATTGACCTCGCCGGGCTTGAGTCCAGACATTATGTGTGAAAGAGTTGTGTGTGAAAAAGAGGAATGTGTGGGTGAGTGTGATAAGGGTGTGAAGTGCACAGAAGGAGGAGTAAGAAGAGGAAGGGATGGACGCGTTTGGTTGAGAAGGATGGAAAGTAAAGAGAAAAAGAAGAGAAAGAAAAGAACGCCTGGTGTCCCTGGACACCCTTCAACCCTTCTCGCTCCCTCCCAATTTGCCAGTCCAGCAGAAAGAGAGACTCCCAGCTTGCGTACAAGGAACGCGTGTGTGCCTCTCGACATGTCCATTCAATCGTGTCTCTCATGCGATTGAATTTTCTTCGGTGACATCAATTAGTCTCGGAAAGATATTATTAAATTTTTTTGTGAGGACAGATCTTATGTCCCTTCTCATTTGTCCACATCACCGCTTTGTCCAACCATCCTTCCTCTCTTTCTATAAACCCACTCTTTGATTCACTCCACTTACCTTTCCTTCCTCTTCTTCCTTCAAGCAACTACTTCTACCCATCCATGTCGTCTCTCTCTGGGTAAGCACGTTACCTTACGCCCTACACATGTCACACAGTTTTCCTTTATTCTCTGTGAATCAAACAAACAGCTCAGCCCGCTCACCTACAGCCAACACTTCAACCTCACTCTCCCCTAATAGTTTGTTGCCAGCACCGGTGCACCAGCATCCAGCTCAGGAATACGAACAACAACACCAATACAGCAACATCGTCGCCCCCACAATCCGCATCCCTCCTTACGGCCAGCGCACAGGATGGAAGCCCAAGAAGCCTGAAGACTTTGGTGATGGAGGTGCATACCCAGAGTGCCACACCGCTCAATACCCTCTGGACATGGGACGCAAGAAGAAGGTAAAAGCAACGCACACACGCCTCCTTAAACCTGCATCATTCATTTTGCCTCTTTCTTTAGCTGCTCGGCCTTGCATCCATTTGCCATGGTAATTTTTCTAACAATAGTCTTTTTTATATGGTCGTGAATCAAATCACAATAGTCAACGTCAAAGGCGGGATCGACAATTGCGCTGCAGGTTGATGCGCAAGGAAATGTGGCCTATGATGCCATCGCCAAGCGTGGACATGGATCAAATCAGATTGTTCAGGCGCAGTTCAAGGATTTGGTGCCATTGCACGAGCGTGCTGATGTCGGAGACATCTCGTTGAGCCGCCCCAATGAGGAAGAAGTTCAGGAGACAGCAGACCGCACCAGGGCTGCGCTGGAGAAGATCTCAAAGTGTAAGTCCTTCCTGCTTGTTTGTCATGCCTTTGCCATATGTGACATGTTCTTGATATTCCGCATTTCAAGACTGAATTACTGACACGCCCCTTTGATATTTTTATAATTATCTCTTTCAGCCAAGATTACGGCTGCTCAGCCAAAGAGTGTGGTATCGAACAATAAGCCTGGAGCACCGACATATATTCGCTACACACCCGCCAACCAAGCAGCATCGGCCGAAGGAGTCAACCAAAGAGTCATCAGGATGGTTGAGATGCCTGTCGACCCCATGGAGCCACCCAAACATCATCACAAAAAGGTGCCCCGTGGCCCACCTTCCCCTCCACCCCCAGTTCTTCACTCCCCTCCCCGCAAAGTCACGGCCAAGGAGCAGGCCGACTGGGTCATCCCACCCTGCATCTCGAACTGGAAGAACGCCAAGGGTTACACTATTCCTCTGGACAAGCGTCTGGCGGCCGATGGACGTGGATTGCAGGATGTTCAGATCAACAATAACTTTGCAAAGTTGTCTGAGGCTCTGGCTCTGGCGACTCGCCATGCTCAGGATGAGGTCCGTCAGAGAGCTTTGATGCAGCAGAAGGTTGCTCAGAAGGAGAAGGAGTCCAAGGAGCAGAACTTGCGTGCCCTTGCTCAGCGTGCCCGTGATGAGAGAGCTGGTATTGTGTCTTCGTCGACTTCAGGAGCTGCTGTACAGGACTCTGGTCGTGGTCGGCAGCAGGAATCTGGATCCGAATCCGGATCGGATGAGGACTCGGATGATGATGAAGCGAAGCAGAGGGCAGCCCGTGAGCGTGATGCGCTTCGCAAGGAGAGGCAGCAGGAGCGTGAGAAGGACTTGCGCATGTCGCGTATGGGTTCTGAGCAGAAAGCCAAGATCATGGCCAGGTAACACTTTGCTCCGGAACAAGTTAATTGCAATGTCTATTTCGTCCACGTTTATGACCCCAGTTGCTAATGTCTTTTTTTTTTTCTTTATTTTCTTTTGTAGGTCGGAGGGCAGAGATATCTCAGAAAAGGTAGCACTGGGATTGGCTAAACCAACACAGAGCAAGGACAGCCTGTACGACGCCCGTCTGTTTGGTCAAACCTCAGGACTCAACTCTGGATTCAAGGACGACGAGGCCTACAGCGTCTACGACAAGCCCATGTTCACACATACCGGATCGAGCGTCTACAGGCCCAAGCGGTCCGGAGGTGAGGGTGGTGACGATGTTGCCAACGAGGACGATATCTCGCGTGCCTTGGAGTCCGACCGGTTCGGTAGTGCTGGTATTAGCGGGAAGGGCTTCCGTGGCACGGAGGGTGGTCGTAACATGCAGAGAGATGGTCCTGTGGCGTTCGAGAAGGATGCTGATATCTTTGGACTGGATGATTTCAATAAGGCGGATTCTAAGAAGAGGACAGGGTTGGATATTTCCTCTACTCAGGAGGGTAAGAGACGGAGGGAATAAGGACTCGTCTCCTTTGCACTTTAGCGTCTTTTTTCACTTGCTTTTTTTTTTTTTCTTCCTTTCTTTTGCTGTAATACAAGATTGAACTCGCATTGGTCATGCTAACTATCAAATAAAACCACCCAAAAAGCAAAATGCTCGCTGTCTTATTATCACTGTCTTTATTCTGATGGTTGAGTTATGCGACTGGAGTGACAATTGGTTCCGAGGGTGCCACAGAATCACTCGCAGCAGCCGGCCTATCAAACACAAACAAGTCCTTCCGATCCTCAGGCAAGACCCCCTTAATCGACCACGAGATCCCACAAGTATTACAAAGCGTTTTCTCGCCTCCAGGACCAGTCCTCAGCATGAACGTCGAACGGGCACCCAGGCCACATTGCTGGCATTGCCATGTGTCATAGGCGGCCATGTTCATGATCTCGCTACCCTTGGGCGGGCGACCTCTCCGACCAGGTCCAGCTGTATATGCCCTTCCGCCGCCGCCGTACATGTTTCCTCCGCGGCGGCGGTTTCCGTACCTCGATGTATCCCTTCTATTGCGTCTATTTGGGAGGAGATATGAAGAAAAAGCAAAAATAAATAAATAATTAGTTGTTTGGTGGTTCTCTTCAAAACACGTTTCAAACAATGTCGAAAAAGAAAAGCACAAGGGTAGGAACGTACCGAATGATACGATCATTGGCCTCCAGAATTTTCTCATACTCCTCCGGAGCCAGAGTCTCCAGAGCTGGGGACCAATTATCCCCTTCATCCGAAGGTCGGAACCCCGAATACAGGGGTTCAGCATCAAACCCCCTGTCCAAGAGCCGATCCTGTTTGAATCGAAACAGTTGTTCATGGATCTCGTGCGCGATCATGGATACGAATTCGCCTCCGACGCCCAGATCTGCTGCTAGTTGCTTGGCAAATTCTTCGGGCGTTAGGTCTGAGCCGACGTCCCATTCGAACCTGTCCCGCAGGTTGATTCCTCCTACATGAATATCCAGCTAATATCACAAATGTGGTTGAAGAAGATGATTAGGTACGTAGTCAATTACATCACCTTTGCAAGTATGCGATATAGAACAAGGTGTCTTCTTATATTACCTGAATAGTAACGCGGGAGCCCTCGGTGGGGACCTGGACTTCAGCAACGGGTTCGAATTCAGCAATCTGGTTACGAAGGGACTGGGCAATCTCGGGGACAAACTTGGCCTGGTTCAATTCGAGGTCCTCACAGAGGATCTCGGCAAACTTTTCGGGGGTCATGAGTTGTTCGTTCACGTTCCAAGTGAACGTGTCTCGCAGGCGGATCTCGTCCATGTCAATGTCCAGTCGGATCGGGACTAGGATCGCGTCCTGATCTGCCACTGCGTCCAAGTCCTTCTGTGAGCTATTTTTTCGTATGTTGGTTATTGAAATGTTGATTAGGCACTGTCTGGATGTGTCAAAGAAATTAAACAAACACAATTGAAAATCAAGACGATACGTACTTGTAGATATGTCGAGTCTTGCGGGGTCGCTTAACCCAAACCTTCTTCTCCTTCTCCAACCGCTCCTTCTCCAATTGCCTCAGGACCTTGTTAGGTGCGCTCCTCGCCGACGCGCCATCCTCAAAATCCCAATCATCCTCATCCGACTCCATCAACGACGCGACAGCAGCTCGTTTAGCACGTCGACCCAGAGCAGGAGGCAACACCAAGGCGTTACTGGCCTCGCGTATCCTTGACGCGTAAGTGCTGAAGGTTCCTTGTGCGGTCGACATAATCCCTCCCTTCACCGATGCTCCTCCTGGTGCTCCAGCACCCGGTCTGAATCCTCCACCCTGGTAGGGATGTTGTTTCTGTGGGTTGTAGGGTGCTCCGGGACCTACTCCCCCCGGTGCAGAACTGCTACTTCCGTTAACAGGGTATCGTGGCTGCACTGCCAGTGGTGCCTGCCGGATCTGTGTAAACCCCTGATGCGGCTGTGGTAGTCCCGGTTGATGATGCGTCTGCAACGGCGGAGGGATACTCTGCCCTCCCCCACCAGCACCTGGCGGATAAACTTGCTGGAACTGAAACTGTTGTTGAGGGAGACCGAGAGGAGGTTGTGGGTGATGCACAGCGGCAGTTTGTTGCATCTGTTGTTGCTGGATGAGCAACTGTTGCTGAAGCTGCTGTTGCTGTTGTTGGTGCTGTTGGGTGGAGGCGCTACGGCTGGCGCGTGCAGAGTACTGAGACCCACCGCTGGCGCTGGGGGCAGGGGATCCCCGGTCTGAGTTTGTGCCGGAGCGGCGTCCGGACTGCATGGATGCTGCTGTGTGGTTGACCCATGACGCCATGGCTTTTTGTTGTGTTGATTCGAACGCGTGTCTTGGGGGGGTTTGGCGAAGGGCGATCTGATTCCTGTTCCTTTCTTTGCGCGGATGTATGTTTTTAGTTGTGATTGAGATGTGTTTCCTCTGAGTGGGTGGGCGCGTGGGTGGGTGGGTGATGCGGATAAAAAGACAGAAGAGACAAAAAGGAGAGGAGGAAAGAAGAAAAGGAACAAGCAAACAAAGAAAAAAGGTTCGAGGCCCTCTCCTTCCTTGCCTTTTCACAATCTTCTACTCCATCGAAAATCCACGTCACATCGAAAGTGGACGGGCCAAGTGGCCATGTGGAGAAACATATCGTTCGGTCATTGCCTAACGCACATACATTTTTGCTCCCATTGACGATTTAATTGTTTGTAGCGGGTAAGGTTAAAAGGTAAAAGTACATGGGCCATGAATCAAATGGAGCCTTCGTAAAGGGAGGAGAAAGAGGAGAGGACATGGCCGATTCAAATAACGGAGCACTTGCCGGCTGCATCAGCAATGACTATTTGGTGCGGCTGCAGATGGATTCGTCTGCTGCTGCTTCTACTTTGACTGCAGGTGGAATTACAGCGGGTCCTGGTGCTGCCGCAGGTGCTTGTGGTGGTGCAATTGAAGACGGGACAGTGGCAGGTACTACATGTGGTAGTGCGACAGCGGCGATGGCAGGAGCAGGAGCAACAACCACTTCGTCAAAGAGCCCCAAATCCATCATATCCTTCCCATTATCACTCGACGGCCGAAGCAAGACAAAGTAATCCGGAACCCCATCCCCGTCTGAATCCCTGGGCGAAATAAAGTGATCATCTATCGTTGCCCCATGCTCATCCAACACCGGAATCAATTGCGCCTCTTTCCGCTCCTGAGTCGACTTGAATCCTCCTCGTTGGTTCTTGACCGCGTTCGGGTGCTTTGCTTTGTTTGCTGGTTTGCGAGGTTTGGTGGATTTGTTGTGGGTGGTGGATTTGTTGTGGGTGGTGGATTTGATGACTTTGCGGGCTTTGGGTATTGAGGCTGCGGCTGCTGCAGCGAGGGATGAGACTTTGGATTTGATTCTCTCGGTTGCTCGCTTTGATGTCGACTGATTGTTGACTGTGGTCGGCTTTGGGGCTCGGTGAGGATGACGACCCTTTTGATCCTGCCCCACCTTCTGCTGATGTCCTCTCGATCCTTGATCCTTACTGCTGTTGGCACCGGCGTCTCTCGTCTTCTTTTCGCCCTGCAATTGTCCTCCAGCATCTCTCCCAGACATCACAACCGCATGTTCCACATCTCGTCCTTTCTCCTTCTTCATCGACACATGATATTTCTTGACCTGCAGATGTAACACCTCCTCTCTCTCCTGCTGTAGTTCTTGATGTGATTGTGGTGGTTGTGACCTAGGGTTGAAGAGTGGAGCCCTATCGGCTCCATCCTTTGGACCGAACTCTCGGAACCAGAGGATGGCCATGAACTCTAGGAGGAGGAGTACGGCGATGAGGGAGGCCTTGCTTCTCGGGTTGCTGAGAGACAGGAACGGCATCTGATGGTGAGGGATAGGGGTTCGAGCTGGGTGTCTTTTTGCTTGTTGGTAGTTGTTGGATTGTTGGTAAGATGGAAGAGGAAAAGAAAGAAAGTAAAAAGGGCGAACCCAGCCTAGTAAAAAGTAGGGTACTACAAGCACAAGAGAGGGTTTTGAGTGAGAAGGGGAAAGGACGAAGGAGAGAAGAAAGGAAGGTGAAGAGGTTGTAAAGGGAAAAAGTAGAAAAAAGAAGGAAAAGAAGGGGATGATGACAGGGAGGGAAGTAAGCGAAATAAGAATCTCAACCAGGGTGGTATGAGCGAGTGCGAATGATAACCAATGATATAGCGAGCAAAGAGGTGGAGTGCAGCTGTCTATGGTCAAGGATGGAATGTGGTGGAGATGTAGATTGGATTGGACGACAAGAAGAAAAAAAGGAGGTCGAGAGTAGAATGTTCCCTCCTCGCAAATATGGATGGAAAAAATGGGACTGTGAGGGATAGTGGTGGTAGTGTAACTTGTGAAAGGTAGAAGATATGTGGGGTCTAGGTCTATAAGTAGGATGCAGATGGATCTTTTTGGAGGGAAGACGAGAAGAAAGAAAAGGAATAGAGGCGGATTGTCGGTGCCCTTTTTATGGTGTCAGCAAATGCAAGGTGAGGAGTGTGATTCTCAGATAATAAAGAAAGCGAGAAGCAAAGACCAAGAGAAACATGTTGAGATCAATGGACGATGGAATGGTAAGAATCCTCCTCCGCTTCTCCTTTCGCTTAGTTGTGGAGTAACGGAGCATTGCAATTCGGACCAGCAAAGTCCGAAAATCAACAAAAAAATGCCACAACGGAGATGAAGAAGAGGGAGTAATACATGACAGTCATACATGTGATGATGCCACATCGCAGAAGGAAGGACGATAGTAACACAGTACAGGTGGCATATGCAAATTGATTAAAAGAAATAACGGACGAACAGTATGATCCCGTTCCTGTCTCTACTCGTGTACGTTTTACTTCTTCTACATCGCCACTCGTAAGCTGCGCCAGTCTGTTCTTCATGAGTTTCTGGTTCGTAGAATCTTTTCTGTGCCCTGCCCTTGACGCGCTTTGGTACGTCTCATTTCTACAGCGCGTCACGTTGAGATGGACAAGTCACTGCTGATCGGACATTCACCACCGATGGCGATACTACGTCCATCAGTCACACGCATTTCTCGGTAATAAAGTCTTTTCAGCCCTCTCTTATCCAGTCCTTACCTTCTTCAATTCCTGAGCACCTTTTCACCCATCACTCTCACCGCAGCTACACTTCTTAACCACGACGATACACATACACACACTTATTTACCCTACAACAACTCCCCTACTGCCTCTCACACCTCCACATCTTCTATACTTTTTTACACCATGGCCACACCGGAACCAGAGCACTACGCTTTCATCGACCTGCTCTTCGAGCGCCTCCTCTTCGAACGGGTCCTCCTGTGGAACCAAACCACAGGCTGCTGCATCAACCCCGAAGCACTCTCAATGCAACTCGACCTCATCGGCCACTACTACACCGTCATCGCTATGACGACCTTCCAACACCTCTGCAGTGAGGCCATCCACAACCGAGACTTTTCCAACTTTGGTATCCTCTCCTACCTCAGCAATCACCGAAGACAACAACAACAATCCTTCAAGATCTTCCCCAACAGTCTCGCTGCCAAGTTTGACCTCGGGATCGAGTCTGACCGGCCTTCAAAGCTGCGCGACCATATCTTTTGTCCCTGGATATCCCAAAAGCAGATCAAATATTTCAAGAGGGATTATGGGAACAAGGTGTCGAAGGAGCATCAGAAAGAGTTGGAGTTCTTGGTCGATATGTTGGATCAGAATGGGTTGCTGAGAGTACCCAACTGTGATATGGAGCCAGAGTTCTTGAATCGGAAGAGTAAGCAGATTCCTGCGGACGAGATCCCTGTCCGACATGTTGACAACCTCAAGGCTGTATGTTTGTTTTTTCATGTACATATGCAGTGATCTGACGGAGAAATGAGTTCTGCGCATCATGCATATGCAAAGTACAACTGAATCTTCATCTCATTTTTGTTTGCTTGGATCATGTTATATCTGTAGACGCATATTTACACCAATACATGAGTCCTGCAGGCTGCAGGAGACCAACCTTCTCAACAACATCAAATCGATTACTTCACTCGAGCCCGTCTTAGTCAGTAGAGAACATCGTTGGCCTTTTTATTGTTCTCGCTCCCTGTCCGCACTCAATTCGATCGCCATCCATCAAGGCTTTATGAAGAAAAGTTTTCTTTTTCGCACATTACTATAGCTCGTAATACAAAGCATGTACTTTTTATTATCGACTGTGTTCCTGAGGGTGTAGAGAGGCAAGGCGTGGAAGAACAACAGAGAAACAGGGAACGAGCATGCAATGTTGCGAAGGAATAAAAAAAGTTAAATGCAGGTAAGAGGAGCATGCAGATTGGTGGCGCGCCTTTTCTATTCATTCCCATTGAGGACACTACTGTTGGTCAACTGTCGCGTTGGCTCGTTGATTCCTTTTCGTTTCCCTGTTTGCATATGCCTTGTTCAGTAATACCTCTCTTCCTTCCCCTCTTTTGAGCAGGCAGCATCGTGAAGGTGCTGATGTCCTATTCCCTCACAATGACGCACATTTGATCAAACAAGAGGCGCGTGGGCATTTATTATTTTCTTCTTCTTCTTTCTCACCTTCTCACCTTCTTACCTGCACCACACACACACAAAGACAAGCTCTCCCTTCTCTCCTTCACCATTACTCACCACAACCCATCCAACACATCCCATCCCACCCCACACGACAACGCAGCAAGATGACAACAGCCCTTGAGCCAGCTCTTGTCGACCAGACACTCGTCTCCTACCTTGTCGAACGCCTCCTCTTCGACTCTATCCAACAAAACAGCAAATCCACCGGCAGCTCCTTCTCACCTATACTGCTCAGCACAAGGTTTGCTTACATTGCTCAATACTACCACCATCTCACCATGAAACAGACCCACCGCTGGCGTGGCAGAGCCATCACCCGCCTCGGCCTTAACACCGCATCTGGTGTCATATCCTACATTTCCAACAACCGAACCCGCTTCAACATCCTTCCCGAGCGACTCACCGAGAAGCTTGTCCTTGGTGACGAGTCTATCGCCGAGGTCTGTCAGTTCATCTACTGCACCTATGTCTTACAGGGTACCGACCTGGTTGAGATCCGAAGAGGGTTCGTGACCCTTGTCCCGGAGCCTTACCGAGAGGAGATTGAGTTCTTGATGGGGATGCTGGAGAGAAATGGTCTGTTGGAGTCGTCGCATCTGGAGGTCGTCATTACCAGTAACGAGTACCTCGTTGACCTGCGGCAGTCCAAAATTCACCATGATGCCGCTGATGATTATATTCGGAAGCTTGAAGCAGTAAGTCGTTTTGATATCAACCGCTCGTTTTGTCAGTATGATGATATCCCTTCTCATTCACGTGAAAAAAAATGTTGTTGCTGACATTTGTATCTCTTTTCCCCCTTGTTCATACAGGAACGCCCACAGGACTCGATCCGACAGCGCAAGCAGCAGCAGCTCGTCGATGCTGTCCAAGAGGCCACGTCGACGGATGCCATTATCCTCAGGTGCGTTGCACTGTGTCTATGTCAGATCACCCACTGGAGCACGTGATGAGCTCATTTTGTAAGACATCAAATTGATCTTCGCCCTCAAATCAATATATTTCTCACAGCTCCTGGGCACAAGGGATCCAGATCTCGGACTATGACCTCGAACTGTTGCTGGTCGAACGGCCACCTGACAGCTCTGTCACCGCAACCTTAGAGTCTAACGAAAAAGGCCAGGAACAGTCAACCTCCCACCGCAGTACCGACGAGGAGCTGGTCGAGAGGCTCATGAGGATGACCATCGGAAAGCAGCCCCCATCGGGCCAGGAGCGCGTCCGCGACATCTACGCATTGGCGACCACGATCAAGAATGCTGGCTTCAGGTCTGTGGTCGCGGTCAAGCGATATGTCGATGTCACCTGCAACCTCAATCCTCATTACGTCTGCTTCTACGATCCGAGGACCCAACTGACCTGCCAAGTCACCCTGTACAGCCCCTCGGATCTCAGTACTCGTAACCTCCTCCAAGCCTACGCTGAAATCGACACCCGCATCGAACCGTTTATCTTTGCGGTCCAGAGGACACTGGACAACCATGGTCGCTCCCATGAGGCCCTGGGAAACTTTGCGGTTGCCATGATCGCGATCCACTTCCTGCAGACCAAGGGTATCCTTCCCAAGCTGTTGCATCAGCAGGGCCGACGCGTTGACTTTGGGTTCTTTACAGGCAAGGCCGAAAATGCGCTCCCAAAGAATCCATCTCAGGACTCTACAGGCTATGCCGCTGATCATAATCCTACCACTACTTCCTCAGCCCAGGCCAAGCCCAAGGCCAACATCAGGGTCCGACATGGTCGTAAAAAACAGCAACCACCGCAGAGCGTTCGGACTGCTTCTTCTGTTGGTGGGTCTACTGCTTCTGGCGGTACTACTTTCAGAGGAACAGCCAGTGGCCAGACTGCGACATCTTCAGGCGTCCGGGCCATCTCCTGTGCCTACGACACCGAGCTGGCAAAAGTAAGACCCTTTGACAAGAGTGTCAGCCGAAAGTCGGTCACGGACCTGGCGGTGAGCTTTTTCACCTATACGGCGGAAAAGTTTCAAGATTGGGAAGACCGACTGGTCCCAGGAGGAGATCTGATACCGGACCACACGCTTGTCGGCGCAATTGACCACGAGGGCAAGCGATGCAGCATGTTCATTCCCGGGACGGCTGTTATATGCCTCCCGCAAAAGTTCTCCGGTCTCGTCGTCCAGGATCCCTTCGTTCTGGACCGCAACCTGACCTGGTTGTGTACCGGATGGCGGTTCATGAACACCAGCAAGGCCTTTCAACGAGCCCAAACTACCGTCTCATGCAGCCACACGGGAGCCGATACCCACCAGGAACTGATTGAGGCGCTAATTGAACAGGCCGAAATTGAGGAGGAGATGCAGTACGAATTTGAGACTGGTCAGCCTGGATATGCGTCCAACCTCAGGATCTATGATGCGTGGGATGACTTTGGCGATTCGGTCACCAGCCCTCGACAGCTTCGGGATATAGCTGAAAAGATGATTGTGGGCAGCATCCAGGATCCTCACTTCTGAGTGCACTGCTGGTTGGACCATCGGATTGGTTTGTTGGAGGAGCCCTTCTTCTACTTCTTTTGCACACGCCTTTTTTTGTTATCTTTTCGTCACTTTGCTTTCTCATTGCTGTACAAGCAAATCGACCTGATATCGCATCTCTGCGTTGGACTTTTACTGTCGCTATGGGTTCTCTTGTCGTGCTTTCCTTTTTTTTTCACAAGCGATCAACACATACGCCATGCGAATAAATAAAATGGCTTTCAACTCATACAGCATGCTGAAATGTACTGGTCCTCTTTCTTGCACCACAAGCCGAGAGATAAGTGTACCCTCGACCATCCCATTTACTGACCACAAACTCACCTACTTTTTCCTCTCCCTTTCTTTTCTCCGTGTTAATTAACATGCACGAACACAGAACAAGGTCGCATGCTTTGTCCAGTGCAGTATGACAAACAGCGACCACCAGGCGACCATGTCCAAGGCAGCTGTGACCCATTTTGGCGACGTCGATATCCTGACCAACAATACCAGAATTGCAGAGCGTACCCCTCTCTGGGAAGATGACATCGGCTTCTGGAAGAATTGATCGATATCGACTTGAGTGCAGTCTTTGAGGGAACTCGTCTGGGTATTTAGGTCTTGGGAGAGCAAGGATGTGGTGGAGTCATGCATGAATGTCTCCCTCTAACATTTATTCATCACCTTTCCACAATAGTTTCTCGGAGACAAAGATTATTTGACCATCAACCAACCTCTTGTTTCATTTGTCATTCATTGCCTCTCTACGCACCTCTTCTTTCCCTTTCTTCATGCCTCTTCTGTCCTTCTTCAAGCAAAGGATAGTTGCATGGTCAATGGGTCCACGATAGAAGGTCCTACGTTTAGAGAGACGAGAATACCACATACTGCATGCTAAGCCTTTAAGTATATTTCCTTTTTGAGAGCCCTGTCAACCACCCCTCTAGTTACACACGCACTCGCCCTTGCTCTTTGTCACCCAAAATGACGCAGTCATATTTGCTGCTTGCACGTGCCACGTGGTATAAAAGGCAATCTCTCCGGCCAAAACTGTTGTTTTTTCTCTTCTTCTCTTTTCTTCTTCACTCCTCTTTGGCCCCTCCTCTTGTCGCCCACCTCTACCGTCTGGAAACCGCCGCTGGCCTGGTAAGAAAACCACCTTCCCTTCCCTTCCTTCCCTTCTCTTCCCTCCCCTTCCTTCCCTTCCTCCCCTCCCTTTCTTAAGGAACAGAAACGAACGAGGGTGTGTGTATCTGTTTCTTGTTGTATCTCCTCTCCCACACTCCCTTTCCCGTTATACTTTCCTTTCTTCGTTGTTTCTCGTTGTTGGGTGCGCGTGCGCGTTGTTTAGTCCTAGTTCCTTCCTTCCTTCTTCGAGTTTCTGTGCTGCAGCACTAGCCTTGCTTTCTTTTTGTTCCTTCCTCGCCTTTTTCTATGAGGGTGAGCGTTTGTGTCCGCACTGCTTGTTTTGCTCCTTGCGTTCTTTAAGCTCTTCTCGTCGTTTCCCAGTTCCCACGCTCTCCGGCTTCTTTCTCTTTTGAGTTATCGTGTATGGCTTGCGCGTTTGGCTTGCTTTCGTTTTGTTCCTTCCTTGTCTTTGTTTGTGGGGGTGAGCGTTGCGTTCGTGCTGCCTTTTAGGTTCCTTCTTCCCCTTCTTTACACAACTCCACAGACGGTTTTCAGTTCCCACGCTCTCCTACTTCCTTCTTTCCCTTCTTTACACAACTCCACGGTCCCCCTTTGTCCTTGAGTGATTGTCTCATCATGGTTACGTGTATACTATGTACTAATCATCAGAGATTTAATTATTGTCTTCCGTTTCGCTTTAGGGCAAGAGAGGGTGCAAGGAGGAATTCATCCCCTCCTCACCCTCATGCCTGGGTCCACCAAGAAAAGAGGGTGTAAGTAGAGTTGA